TTGCCATATTTACAGTTTGCACGTAATACGCAAAGCAGAATTAACAAAATTACTAGTAAATATTGTCATGGAATTGCAATTAAGCTGGCTTTTAAATCGTTCAAAATTTCTAATTTTCTAGGAGTGAATTACACCGTTCCCGAAATGTTCCGTGCTCGTGTTGTATACAAATTTACTTGTGTGGGATGTAATTCCACGTATATTGGAGAAACCAATAGAAGACTTTCAACACGGGTGCAAGAACACTTCAGGGACGGGAATTCTCATATTTTCAACATTTGCAGGCTTCAGAACGCTGTCGGGATCTTGCTAATGAGAGATGTTTCACCGTTCTTGACTCTGCAGATTCAGCTTATAAACTCAAAGTTAAGGAAGCTTTGCATATTACCTGAAACAATCCATCCCTTAATAAGCAAATTTACAACTTGAATATCACGTTCGCTGTTTGATTCTTATGTACTAAGTTACATAACAATCCGCAGTGACGGGTGGTGTCTACGTTTTGTGGTTTGCTTCATTAGTCGCTTTTCTAGTTTGCTTATTTACATACATGTCTATAAAGCCATATAAGCTTTGGCAAAATTTGTCATCTTCGCTCTGATGATGAGAATCGTTTTCTCGAAACATGTTTGCTATACGATCGGGCTCAATGAGTCCGTGATCACGATTAAAGTCTATTACTTGCTTTATAAAGTGCCTTGTGGTGTTTTTACTTATACGAAATTTTGGTGGCATTATTTATGATCTATAAAAATAAACAACATGGAAAATAATAGACTACTAAGTATTAACTATCACAGACAGGGATATTGTGCAGAAAAGGGCAAAACTGTTGGGCATTTGAAATATAAAACATATTAGATAATTTTGGCTTTAGTTGTGTGTGGAAATTGTTGATGATAGCATTGTACCAATTTTTTTACAAAGAAGATGTAGCACTTCAAAACGGAGGAGAAATAATATAATTCACTTCACTTTTATAACAATATTATTAAGCAAGAAAATATATGTGAAAATTATGTTTATAATTTAAATCCGAGGTACAGAATACAACAATATTTAACGCTTTAGGGTATCTTGCCATAATTTATTGATTGACAAGGGAAAATAGAATTTGTTTATTTTTCCCGACTCTTTAAATTTAGAAGATAAAATTTTTTCCTGTTTGTCCATTGCGGGCGAGTCGAGTGGTCGAGCAGTAAGGCAGGGGCGCCGCTAGCTACAGCTTTAACATCGGCGCTGTTTCCAGCCGCTCCTCGCCCATGGTTCGGTTGGTAGAACCAAGTCTTCACGGATAAGGACTTAAAATGGAGGTCCAGTGTATACATCTGGCCCGTGTGCACTTTAAAGAACCCATTGCATCTTTCGGAAGAGTAGGGGGTTACCCCGATATTATGGTTCATTTCAGCCCGTCCTGTCGTTGTGGAAATATGTGAACATGTATCTAAAACAAGAAGCGCCTCTTTACGGCTGCTAGGTTGTCGCGGACCACGCCCATACGCAATTCAGCACAATGACACTGCAAGTTATGGGTGATTCTCCTACCTTTACCATTTTATAAAAGTATTAGAAAGAAATATATACCTAACTTAAATGTACATTCCTTGAAAATATGCATTTGTTAATTATGCAAGTATAATTAATCTAGATCCAGAGAATTGAGCAATTTATTTAGAAAAGAAATCATTAAAAAAATAAATGCCTGTGTGTCTGATAATTATTTTGATTTTATTTTGTGAAATGGGTCTGATGTCATTTTGTACAGAAATAAAAGAAACTTGAAACTTCAAAACTTGAACCATTGCATTCATATTATTAAAAATATTGATTTATGATATTATAAAGATGTTACACAGAGGGCGATATTTGTCGTCTATAACTCAATATTTTTAACTCAACGTTTTGTACACGGATATTTAATAATTTTCAAAATAATAGCTTAATGTCCTGTATCAGTGTTTTATCTATTTTTGAGATTGTAATTCGTTTTTGAAGTAAATTTTACAAAGATTGAGCTCAGGATCTCTGGCATTTGAAAGTTCCAGAATCACGAAGAATTTCTCGGTTTATAGTAGAACTAATATTATGATCTATGCTATGATTTATTTTAATTATTTTTATATATGATTCATTTTTTATTTTATTTTTTTCCCTCCGTTGTGGGGATTTCACCCACTTTTATTCAACAACGATATATATGTCTAGAATTATTTTACCACTGCCAAAAAAGCAAAACATTTTAAGGTTTCCTCCTTTTTCGTATTCCTTTTTTAACCTTTCTTTCCATTTTACTATAACTTAAATATCTATCAAAATAATTAAGAAACTCCAAATATACAGCCATTCTAATTCATTAAAAAAAATGTTGAATAAATCTGGTTTTGAAGAACAATCATAATACTTCATTCTAAATCTAAAAATTGTGAATGAGGCAAGAACTAATATATAATTAATTTAAAAGTAATCGTGACGTTTTAAATGGTCAACTACAATAAGTAAACGTAATGTAATAAAAACATTTGAGAGGTCCAGTTTATGTAAAAATTAATTAAACCGATTCCAAAAATCTTAATCTCTTTACATGAAATAACATGTGTTTGGAATCGTCTTCAATTTTGCGTATTTTACACAGAGACGAATCAATACGTTTCCATTTAAATAAGTTTTTTGGACATAGTATGAGATTAAAAATAAATTTATAACTAAAATCCATTAGTAATCTTTCTTTAATCCTAATAAGGTTTAGCAGCCATACTTTATGCCAATTTATCTTGATGTTTAATTTATTTTCTCACTTATTTTCTAAGTGAGATTTTACAGTTTTTTTTTCGATATTAGTTGAAGGATAAACATCATTTGTTTTAAGCACCTGTATATTTTGTTTATTTTTTTTACGTATACAATCTAGTTTTTATGGATTTTCACGTATTTTTTCTTCCCATGAAACCGGAATAGATTCAGTTATTGTTTTTAATTCAACTAAACAATTTGCCGAAGATTTTTTAAGTTTGTATATAATATTGGCATAATATGCCATCTTTATTTAAAAGATCATTAATATGTATTATTTCTAAATTAATCCAGTGTTTTGAATAAGGTAAAGAATTATATTTGCCTTTTTTAAATACATGATTTCCCCGTATAACTTCACTCTTGATATCTTCCGCTGATATAGGTGTTTATACCTGAAGGATAAATACCATGCTAAAATAACCTGGCAATAAAATAATGGGATCTGATTTAAATTTAAATTTGGGGTATTTTTAATTTTGCCTAATTCATTTAAAAAATAATATTATCTGGTCCTAACTTATTTAAAAAAGTAGTAGGAACCTGTGCCCATGTAGCGGAACCTTTTAAGATTTTATTTACCCAAGTGGCTTTGAGGGAGCTACAGTGACTTTCAAAATCACACATCTTTAACGCTATGATTTATTATGGTATCTTATGAAAAATATTTCGTTTTTGCAGAAGCTACATATGCATATAAAAAGCAAAAGCCTATTATACCACTCATTGTCGAATCAAACTATGTAGCGGATGGTTGGTTGGGCGCCCTCATCGGCACTTTAAAGTACTACAAACTCACTTGTGAATCCTCCGTTGGAAATGAATTTCGAAATATCCAGAAGGAAATCGGAAATAGAGCACTTTCAGAAGGTACATTGTTATTTCTCTAACAACAAAAACATTCAAAGTAATTTTAGGAAAATCTAACAATATTGGTTTGAGGACAAACTGTAGGGAGACCCAAAATTGTTTCATTTTTAAGAGGCAGACTATTCACTACATAAATTCAATGTATTTCAATTAAAATCCATACAACCAAATTAAAAACAAAACAATAAACAAATATTTCCTGATGAAATTCGTATAATAATCTGCTCATCTCTTGTGAAATATTTTCGCCCGTACTGTAACGCATGTGAAAGTGTAATTGCTGAATGTTAAGATGACACTTTTTATCACTTATCTTTGCCACACTTACGCGTTACAATTTCAAAAAACACAACATAAAACGTTATTTTTGACGTCACAGTATAGGCTTACCGACTTGGTTACCCTCATTGAAGTGAGCATTATGTAAGGAACTTCTTACTTACACTGTTTTGTGAACATGATGAAGACTGATTGCACGTTATCATGAAAATATTGGAAAAATAGATCAATAAGGCATAGTTATTGTATGTCACATGTTGTAATTTCGAATATATATATATATATATATAAGTTCTGCTGACTGCAACACCAGAGATTCGAATTTAAATCCAAACGAACTTTTTAGTTATAATATTTACAATTACATTCCAGATATTGTTATTCCTGTATCTGAAACACATGTTTTTTCGGGCAAGAATGTGCCAAGCGATGATGTGGACGGCCGGTACACAAGTGTAATTAATTGGACTACAGACGACGTTGAAGAGTGGTTAAGAGACAACCTCATGTCAGACTACAACAGTTGTATGAAAGATGTGAACGGAGAAATTCTTTTGCAAATGGTGAAATTTTCAAAGAAAGCCCCTGAATTCTTCTATTCACAATTGAAATTGGACTTCGGGATGAGTCTAGTTCAGATATTAAAATTTGCGAACGCTCTTGAAAAATTGAACATCTGAATTGTATTAAGGCATTGAGTGGGCTTATCAATAATGTAAATAGTAATTGTAACTGTAATGTGTAACAATGATTAATTAGTATTGATAGTAATGTTCACAGTCAATTTGATAAGTTCTGTTTTTTTTTTCATTATCAAATCAATTTACAAAATGAATAAACTTTTAAAAAGTGCATAAGAAGTAAAATGACCTTCATGAAACTTAATGAGCTTGTAAAATGAAGGTCTGGGTGTAGTAATAAAGTTTTAACCCTGTCTCTTATACACATCTAGATGTGTATAAGAGACAGGTAATAACAACATTTGAGAGGTCCAGTTTATGTAAAAATTAATTAAATTGATTCCAAAAATCTTTAATCTCTTTACATGAAATAATATGTTTTTGGAATCGTCTTCAATTTTGCGTATTTTACACAGAGACGAATCAATCCGTTTCCATTTAAATACGTTTTTTCGACATAGTATGAGATTAAAAATAAATTTATAACTAAAATCCATTAGTAATCTTCCTTTAATCCTAATAAGTTTAACAGCCATACTTTATGCCAATTTATCTTGATGTTTAATTTATTTTCTCACTTATTTTCAATGTGAGATTTTACAGATTTTTTCGATATTAGTTGAAGGATAAACATCTTTTGTCTTAAGCACCTGTATATTTTGTTTATTTTTTTTACGTATACAATCTAGTTTTTATGGATTTTCACGTATTTTTTCTTCCCATGAAACCGGAATAGATTCAGTTATTGTTTTTAATTCAACTAAACAATTTGCCGAAGATTTTTTAAGTTTGTATATAATATTGGCATAATATGCCATCTTTATTTAAAAGATCATTAATATGTATTATTCATGAATTAATCCAGTGTTTTGAATAAGGTAAAGAATTATATTTGCCTTTTTTAAATACATGATTTCCCCGTATAACTTCACTCTTTA